AGCAAGGGTTTCAATAATTTTTTCAATGTTGTTAGAAATAGAAGAAAGTGTTTTGGTAGTTGTGTTGGTGTTGTTGGCATGGTGGCTAGTGTAGAACCCAGGCGGACTACTTAAATTAGGTACTAAAAGTACACGTGTGGCTAGTTGTATCCTCATGAAAATTGATGTAATATCGTATTTATCTAAATAAAGCTAAGTGCCGGGAGCCTAAGTGGTCATCTTAATATTAAAAAAAATAAAAAATAAAAATAAAATAGTCTAAATATATTATAAAATTAAGATTTTAAAATTTTAATTAATTGTAATTCTTGTAAAGAGGTTTTTTTAAAATATGATGATCTATTTTAAAGTTTGGTGCTAAGTTTAGATTATTCATAAAAATGGGTTTGTATTAAGAGTTTTGAGTATAAAGATTAATTTGATTTTAGATTTTTTTTTTAGTTTGTATTTTTCTTAAATAAAAAAATATATTTATAAAATTTAAATAGAGATTGTGAAAAAATAGAGAATAATGCTTATTAAATATCCTTAATATTTTTGAATTTTACATATATTTGGTAAGTTGGTTATGGATATAAAGCTCTATATTACCTTGGCAATTGTTTTTTAAAGAGCTACAGAAGTTTTAATAGTTCATTAAATTTTTTAAAAAGAAGAGAAATTTTGCTTCTTTTTAAGTAGAATGAGTTTCTACTATACTAAAAATATTAATACTATTTTTAGTAATAAAGTTATAAATTAAATTTTGTTTAAATATATTAGAAAAATCATTTGAGTTTAATAAGCAAATTTTAATTTGTTAGATTTGAGGAGTATTTGATTGTTTGGGATTAGTGTCATTGTTAAATAAATAGTCTGAAATATGAATTTGATTTGTTAAAGTTTTAATAGATAAGTTATAATATGTTTTGTATTGATTTGGATTTAAAAAAATATAATTTAGCAAAAGAGTTTTCTGAGTATTGGTATATATATGGGTTTCAAGTGTAATTGCATTAATTGAGATTTTGTAAGTTTTAATAAAAAAGTTTTGGTAATGTTTTGAGTGTTTGGAGTAAAGTTAATAGAGTAATTTGTGTATTTTAAAAAAGGTATTGAAGCATGTATTCTTAGAAAGTTGGGAAGAATTGAAATCTGAGAATAAGTTGTCTTTTACTAGGATAAAGATAAGTAGAGAGAGTGTTAAAAAGAGGAGAGGATAGGGGTATATATTAGCTCTTTTCTGTTAGCTCTCTTATAAAAAAACATAAGAATTTTTTTTCCTAATTTATTCAAGTAGATCTTACTAAAAAAGAGTATATGTAACAAATGTTTTAAAAATCTTTATTTAAAAAATTATTCGGGAACTTGTATATAAAATATGTTTAATAGAATAAGCAAAAAAAAAGTTGTACTACAATTTACAGAAGTACAAGTTATTTCAAATAGAATGAAAATAGAGATCAAAATTAAAAGAGTGTTAACACGTCCTATAACGAAATTATAGCAGATCAGTATAGTATAGGCCAATTTTTAAAATTATACTATACGGATCTGCAAAATTATAGAAACTAACGCTCATATATATAATACCTGGTCCGTATAGTATTGATTTAAAAATCGGCCTATACTATACTAATCTGCCCACCTATACCATACTGATCTGAAAAATACCTTCCTATAACTAATGTATATTATATATTTAAATTAATATTTGTTTTGATAAAATTACATATACTGTATATTCAAACTATACAACTTTTTACAAAATTCTAAATTGTTATTTAAAACTTACACACTATTTTTTTTAATTATTTAATCATAAAATTTATATGAAGTTAAAAATAGTTATTAATTTGAAATTTATATGTTTTTATTATAATTTTATATAATAAAAAATTTATTACTAAAATATTAATTTTTGGCCTGAGCAAAAAATAATCGTGCATCATTTCTTTTGCTTGGATTCGTTATGCAGTACAAATTACCTAAAAACAAAAAAATAAATTATAAAACATATTATAATATTGCAGGATTCGGAAATTGACCTACCTCGCGGGACAAAAAATTGAGCTCCTTCTTTGACTGTAAACATTTGCGCATCGAGATGAAACGTTACAGATCCCTTGAAGACAAAAAATACCTGAAAACAAATAATGAAAAATAGATACTTCGCATATGAAGGGAACATGCTTATGTAATAAGAATATTACCATTGCGCTTTCGTTGGAATTCCTTCCTGATTTTTTGCGTCCCTTGGGTATATCGATCAATCCTGCCGAAAAGAAATCACCTTCCGAAAAGGTTTTTTGGAACTTACATCCATCATTATCGATAGTTTCAGTTTGATACATTGGGAGGGTATATATCAAACCTATAAATACAATGACATATTAATATATTCCCGATTACAAGGAGGAAACTCAAATATAAAACTTACGCCGTGTAACTTTTTCATTAGTTTCCCAGTCAACAGTAAACCCTTCAGCAGATACCACTTCGTCGATGTCATCATCCGTTTCACCTTTCTTAAGAGTAGTATTTTTACCGTTCCGCTTTCGCCTCTTTGTATTTCGTCCAACACCTGATTCATTATCATCTGGCCGGGGAACGCGAATGACTTCTATAAAATGAATTAATGACTCATACCAGTAAAAGAAGATACATGGTAAATTATAATATTAACATGCCTGTTTTTGTAGGTCCATACACGATTCTTTCGTTTCTCCAGAATTCCAGGGGTTTAATACGTTGACGTTTACTTCTTCTTACTAAATACTAACCAACTTCAGATTTTATGTTAAATTACATAATATAAAGAGTGAAACAATGTACTATGACACTTTCTTCCTTTGTTATCACTCAAATCCTCTACTTTCTTTGCTTTCTTTTTATTTTTTCGATTATTTACTTCTCGATCTTGGCTTGGTTCTCGTTCCTCATCGGTGTTATCCTCTCTAAAGTTGCCAAGATTAAATGCCATCTTGGGGCTTTCTACGGTACGACGCCTATACAGTACAACTCTATCATCCTTCTTATTAGAAAGCGATGTCGTTTCCCAGGCGGACTACTTAAATTAGGTACTAAAAGTACACGTGTGGCTAGTTGTATCCTCATGAAAAT